TTCTTTCCCAGGGATTGGGGCTGTTTTTTCCTGTTTTCAGTCCTACCTCCCAACTGCCCGCCTGAAGCCCAAAATTGCATACGGACAAAGATATGTCCCACACCAAAGGTGCCAGCACAGAAAGCTCTTGCTGCCAATGGAGTCTCCAGGTTGACAAACGAATTGCACCACAAAGCCAATGCTTGCAGTCTTTCTTTCCTGGGGATTAGCCTGTTGATTCCTGTTTTCAACCGGGCCTCCCAAATGGCAGCCCGACTCCCAAAATTGTATAGAAAGATTCCTCCCAGAGCAAAGGTGCCAGCAAAGAAAGCTCTTGCTGCTCATGGAGTGCCCAGCCTGGCCGACCAACTGCACCACAAAGCCAAAGCTTGCAGGCTTTCTTTCCTGGGGTAAGGGTTGTTGTTTCCTGTTTTCAGACCAGCATCTCAACTGCCAGTCCGTCTGCCAAAATTGCATACAAACAAAGATTCCCTCGCGCACCAAAGGTGCCAACACAGAAAACTCTTGCTGCCAATGGAGTCTCTAGGCTGACAAACCAACTGCACCACAAAGCCAAAGCTTCCAGTCTTTCTTTCCTGGGGATAAGGGCTGTTGTTTCCTGTTTTGAACCGTCCCTCCCAAATGACAGCCCAACTCCTAAAATTGTATACAAAGACTCCTCCCAGAGCAAAGGTGCCAGCACAGAAAGCTCTTGCTGCTCATCGAGTTCCCAGCCTGGCCCACAAACTGCACCACAAAGCCTAAGCTTCCAGGCTTTCTTTCCTGGGGAGATGGGCTGCTGTTTCCTGTTTTCAGCCCTACCTCCCACCTGCCAGACTGAAGTCCAAAATTGCATACGGACGAAGATTCGTCCCAGAGCAAAGGTACCAGCACAGAAAGCTCTTGCTGCCCATGGAGTGCCCAGCCTGACCCACCAACTGCACCACAAAGCGAAAGCTTCCAGGCTTTCTTTCCTGGGGATAAGGGCTGTTGTTTCCTGTTTTCAACTGTGCCTCCCAAATGAGAGTCCAACTCCCAAAATTTAATCAAAGATTCCTCCCAGAGCAAAGATGCCAGCATGGAAAGATCTTGCTGCTCATGGAGTGCCCAGCCTGACCCACAAACTGAACCACAAAGCCAAAGCTTCCAGGCTTTCTTTCTTGGGGATAAGGGTTGTTGTTTCCTGTTTTCAGACCTGCCTCCCAACTGCCAGCCCGACTTCCAAAATTGCATACAAACAAAGGTTCCCCCCACACCAAAGGTACCAGCACAGAAAACTCTTGCTGCTAATGGAGTGCCCAGCCTAGTCCACCATCTGCACCACAAAACCAAAGCTTGCAGGCTTTCTTTCCTGAGGATATGGGCTGCTTTTCCTGTTTTCAGACCTGTCTCTAAACTGCCAGGCCTACTCCCAAAATTGCATACAAAGATTCCTCCCAGAACAAAGGTGTCAGCACAGAAAGCTCTTGCGGCCCATGGAGTGCCCAGCATAGCCCACCAACTGCAGCAAATAACCAAAGTTTCCAGGCTTTCTTTCCTGGGAATATTGGCTGTTGTTTCCTGTTTTTAAACCTGCCTCCCAACTGCTAGTCCGAATCCCATAATTGCGTACAGACGAAGATTTCTCCCACATCAAAGGTGTCAGCACAGAAAGCTCTTCCTACCAATCGAGTCTCCACGTGGCCAAACCAACTGCACCACAATTCAAAGCTTCCAGGCTTTCTTTCCTGGCAATATGGGCTGTTGTTTCCTGTTTTGAGACCTGCACCTCAACTGCCAACCTGACTCCCAAAATTACATACGGACGATAATTCCTCCCACATCAAAGGCCCCAGCACAGAAAACTCTTCCTACTGATGCCTTAAACCCCTAATGGTTTTTTATTTTTCTAATATTTGTAAATTTTATAAGTCTTATAAGTAGATTTTAAAAGCAGCAGCCCCTTTTCCCTCTACCTTGTAGCACCCTTTAGTTTACAAATTCCTTAACCCTCTTACCCCATTCCATGCTCCGTATATCAGCCCTACCTCTATATCCAGTAGAAATGTTTAGTCTCCCTTCAAGGCAAGGCCTGTCCTGTTTGGAGAACGCTTGTATCTTGGCCTAAAACTGCAGAACAGAGTCAAGAACTGGGTGACTCTGTGCTCTCTGTACCCTGAAGAAGATGAAGGTTGAGGAAGAGAGGGTCTCAAAAACCCACAGACCCAATACCAGGGGGTGGGCCAGGGGGTGGATCAGGGCAAAAGTAACAGGGTGGACACACTTGGGATTGGACAGATATTGTTATAGAATGTAAAATCTCAGGCACAGACTGCGCGCGTCGTCCCCTCTGTCCACCTTTCAGACTGCAGTGTGGGGCAGTGTCTCTGTCTCGGGCAGTTTCCTTCCTCCTAGGAAAGCTCCAGCAGGTGGGACACAGCCTTTCCAGCAGCATGCCAAGCCCTCAGCCTTCCTGGGGCCTTTCCCCTGCCCTGACAGCAGCAGCTTCCGTGTGCTGTCCCCAGGCTGCTCCTTTCAGCTGCTGGCACAGACAGGGCCCAGCTGGACCAGCTGCTGTCCCATCCTGCGCTCAGCACAAGGGACGGGGCAGCCCAAAGAGAAGCCCCGTTGCTGGAGTGAGCCCAGGTCCTCAGACAGAGGGGATCTCCCAGTCCCTGTGACAGCCTGTTGGTCACAGCCTTGTGCTGGGCTGTCAGAGACCCTGCTCTGCCCCTCTCTGAGATGCCCCACGGCCTGAGGGACAGACACAGGGAGTTCTCTTCACAGAAGCACATCCCAGGGCTGCATTCAGCTGGTTTCCCAGGGCATGTGACTCTCAAAATGAACTGATCTCAAGGCACTGTCCTTCCTGGCCTCTCTAGAAGTAGCTGATGGCGTTTGTGCTCACTCTGATTCCTCTCTCCACACACACACACACACACACACAGTGTGAATGCCTAACTCTCTTCTTTACAGTGCAAATATGCTCATTTGATGTTCCTCCGTGGGGGACAAACAATCCTTATGAGGTGGAGAGATAGACCAGGTCTGGGAACAGTGATTGCAAGGGACTGGTCTGTGAGGAGTGCACTGGGGCCCCTTGAGCAGGGGGCCCAGAAAACAGGGTCACAGACCGGACTATTTTGGTCACTGTTGGTCCTTCAAGAGTATTCCTGGAGGCCTGGCTGTGGAAGGGACAGGGCTGTGTGCCCCCATCCTGTACAGTCACCAACTTCAGCTCTTCAGTGGTGCTTTATGCAGCAGGAAACTTCCTGGAGGTTGTTCTTGGCAGCAACTTTGAAAGAACATTTGAGCCTTCAGGCACTGCCCTGAGGAGATCCCTTTCCTTTTGGAGCTGGGTTCTGTCCCAGCAGTGCCCATGGCCTGTCCCTGCCTGCATTGCAGGAGTGACACACAGCAGAACTGTGACCAAGCAAGGCCCAGCACAGGGAGGGTGTGGCTGGGAGAGGCCAGGGCAGAGCCTGCCAGGCACTGAGGACAGTGTCACCCTGAGCCAGCTGTGCCACCTCCCAGAGAGGAACAGGGCCGGGCAGCTGCTCCCAGGCCTGTGCTCTGCTCAGGCTGCAGAGCTGCCCCACGGCTCTCTTGCAGCTCTGGCTGCACAGGAGGGGCTTCCTTGGCCCCCCCTTTCCGTTGGACCCTCCTGCCCTGAGGGCAGAGGCTTGGCTGGGTGGGAGAGGAGGGGAGGGGGCTTGTTCAGAGGGACGGGTCTGCACTGGAGGGGATCATATGGAGATCTCTAAACATTCGATGACACGTTTGGTTTTTTTTTGTCTCAGGCCCTAATCTTATGTCTGCTTCTGGGAGATTTTCCTCCTGGAGGTGTTTCCCTGTGCTGTGACTTCCCTGTCAGCACTCCATCTGAATGTCTGTGCACTCACTTTGGCCTGAGAGAAACCTGCCTGTTTGCAGGGCACTGACTGGGTAACTTTTCTTTTTGCAGGTGCAAAAGGGCAGATAAAGAAAAAACAGATGGGTCCAGCAGAAGTGATGCTGCTTCTGTCAAAGGCAGAGCAGAGGCCGAAAGCACTTTAGGAAGTTGCTCGCAGAAGCACTGTGCATTCCAAGTTACAGCTCAGTGAGTCTCAGTGACTTGTCCAACATGAGAGCTCCTTTTCCATTTCTCAACCCCCAGATTCCTCAGGAGTAGGAAACTGAAAACACTGACTCAGAAAAGTTCCTTTCCTTCCTAATAATTGTGCTTTGTCCTTCCCATTTTACAGTGCTCTTGGAAATGTGCTGGTGTGATCTGGATCTGTGAGCAGCCCTGACCTCACACAGCACTCATCCAACGGCAGGAAGACCCTGCCTGGCTCCTGCTGGGGTTCTCGCCACCCACCGACAGCTCCTCCCTGCAGAGGTGTGGGCAACTACCCAGGCAGGATGAGACCTGACCCCAGCAGGCAGCAAAGTCCCTGCCCTGTCATGAAGAACCCCGGAGCACAGGGACCCTGCTCTGCAGGACAGCCCCGGGCACCCCCGGCTGCACCCCCACCTTCCCACCCTGCAACCATCCCTGGGAGAAGGAGCCCACCCGCGCTGTCCCTCTGACGGTGCTGCAGGGAAGGCCTGCCCAGGAGAACATCCTCCTCCTGTGCAACAGAGAAACTGGGAGAGTCCTGACAGATGCGCAAGGCTCTGGGATGTGGTAGCTTTAGGAGATTGCTCCAGGAACACAAGCGACATTGCCCTGCACCTGTAGACTCACTCTGCAGAGGAGTGTGAAGTTGCGTCCCCAAGGGAAGTTTCAGCTGAACACCTGCCATCTTTCTGCTGCCTTTAACCTCCCTCTGCCTTGCTTCTCTTCTCTCGTGGCTACAGGCAGTGCCCTCAGCCCTGCTGGGCTGTGCAGAGGAGCTGCTCCTGGGCAGAGCTGTCTCTCTGCAGTGCTGCCCGCTTGCCAGGAGCTCCCTGTGTGCCAGGAGCCTGGCCCAGCTGAGCAGCACAGCAAGAGCCAAAGGCAGCCCTTTCTCTGCCCCTCTGGGTTCCCTGCAGGTGTCCCTGGGGCTCCACTGGGAGGGTGGAGCTGCTGTTGGACATGAGCTTCCTCTGGGCATCAGGAACTGTCCAAGGAGGAAAAGGCAGTGAAAACTTTGGGAGAGATTTCCTAGATCAAAGCCCATGAATTCCTCTGAGCATCTACCCTCATCCCAAGTATCTGCAGTCACACATATGTAGATTCTGGACTGTAGAAGGCAGGCTTAGCATGACTTTAAGATGATTTCTTCTGAATTTTTTGATTTATTTTTCTACTGCCAGGTCTGACAGCTGTGTCACAGTGACACGGGGGGGGCATCATGGAACCAAACGAACCCTGAGACATTTCAGAATCCCATGTGCGTTGGGTCTGTCTGAGCTGGAGTTCATTTTCTCACTGCAGCCGTCACAGTGCTGTGCTTTGCATTGGGAGCTAGCAAGGGGTTAATCACACCAGTGCTTTGGCAACTGCTGAGCAGGGCTGGCACAGCATCCGCATTGTCAGCTTCCTCCCTTGAATCAGGGGCAAGATCATGGGTGGGGATACAGACAGGCCAGTTGAGCCAAATTGACCAAAGGGTTTTGGCAGAATATATGGTGTCAGCTCAGCTACAAAAGCTCAGGAAAGGAACAGGAAAGGAGGGAAATCCATTTTTTTACAATACTTGCCTTCTGAACGGCCTCTCTGTGTGGTGAAGCCCTGCTTCCCGTGAAGTGGCCAGGCATCGCTGCTGACGGGAAGTAGAGAATAAATCTTTTTATTTTCCTCTTCACTTATGCATACACAAACTTTGGCTTTTGCTTTAGTAAAGTACCTGATCTCAAGGTAGAAGTAATTTTCCATCTTATTTTGTCTCTTCCTGTCTGGCTGGGAAGGGCAGCGATAGAGCGGCTTGGTGGGCACCTGGCATCCAGACAAGGTCAACCCACTGCAACATTGCAGGGTCTCGTGGAACCAAAGGACTGCTGGGACACTGGGGGACTCACGGAATCAAGTGGGCGTTGTGATACTGCCCTGGATCATGGAAGTAAATGTTCCCTGGGAAACTACAGAAAAACAGGGAATTAAGGGACGTCATTGGGATGTACGAGACCTCATGGAATTAAACAAATCCTGGGATATCTTTGGAACTTCATGGAATCAAAGGGGTAAAACAAAAGAATTAAACCCAATGACCAGAAACCATTGGATCGAACATTTCTTTAATATGCCAGCTGGGGATTCATGGGGGTACTCTGCCATGCATGAATCAAAGAATCAGTATAAATTTTGGAATATAAACACAGTGATACTTGAAAGATCCCCCCTTCACAAGCAGTCCATAATTATGTTATGATTTTGGGGTCAAATAGCATCTTGGATTTTATTCGTGGAGCGAGACTGCCATCTAGCGTCCATTTCTTCTGGGAGGGGCAGTCATTTTCGCAGAGTGGTCTTCTCGCTTAGCAGGCCTCGTAGCATCTCTGATTGATCTATCCGACCTCTAACCCCTAAACTAAATGTTCTAGGACCAGCTAAGACATGTGTCTTAGAACTTCCCATTTGCTTAAACAATGTTTAATTGACTTTCTTCTTAACAGAACAATCTCTTATTAAACAAGTTTTCTGAGACATGTAAGCTAATTTCTTGGAGATGGGCAAACGACAGACTCTCTATTGGTTTCCATGTATCATCTACATTCTCTCTCCTAAAACTAATTGTAGAATTAAAAGAAAAGACCACTACCATGCCAAGAAAGCAAATCCCATTGTTGATTAGGATATCATTTTTATCTAGGAAAAAACTTCTGATTTACTAAGTCGTTTAGAAAGGAGATCCTCTCTCATTTCAGTGCCATTGTGACAAATATGGGGCCTCATGTAACACATGGAAAACTGAACACTGCAGATTCCCATGGAATCAAGGGGCCATTGTGACATTCTAGGGTCTCATGGAAGAGGAAGGCCCTGCAGAGAGACCTCAAATCAGAGGTTTGGGCAATCATCAAGCAGAGGAAGTTCAACAAAGAGAAGTGCCGGATTCTGTCCCTGGGATGGGGCAACTCCGGATGTACGGACAGACTGGGAATGACATGCTGCATAGCAGTGCTGGAAAATGGCCTCTGGGGTCCTGGTGGATGGCCAGTTGGCCAAGAGTCAGTGGTGCCCTGGCGGGGGCTCACTGTTCGGTCACACAAGGGTTTTCAGACACACGAGTCCTTCCCTTGCACACACAAACAGACAGTTCATGGCAGCAGGGGCAGTATCTCCTGGGGCTCCTGCTGCCACGCCCGGAGCCTGGATGCACCTCAGCCCTGTGGGGTGCCACCTGCTCTGCCACTATCTGAGATGCCCACGGC